ACGTCCAAATTATCCAATTTTGTTAACAGGCGATGATGATCCTTAGCTTGCAAAAACATTTTAATTCCTCCATTGCAATTTGTGCTTGAGTAACAAAAGTAGTCATATCATGATCTGGTTGTTTAAGAGAGGCCAACTTCTGAGTAGAGTCATACAAATGCTGAATATCATTCGCAAACAAACTACAAGCCTTATTCCAAAAGGTATGACATTTTTAAAGGTTTTGAAATTGACAAGGTTGGTTGGCTCCACTGGTTGCCACAAACAAAGCAACATAATGATAATCAAACTTTTCCTGTTGACTTCGATGTTTTGAAGGAATATTGGCTACTGATTCTCAAGATGATCTGAAGTCTTTGTCCTAAAAACCGAAGTTCTACGGAAGCTGACTGGGCTAAATAATTTTTCCCATTTAATTTTTCTGATGTCATTGTGGGCGTACCAGAAAAGGCATATGTAATGGGAACATTCATGGATGAATTTTTACCGCCAGTGGACACAGGTTTTGGTTGAGTTGAATCAGATGTTTCAGAAATGGTTGTGAGTTCATTTTTTTTTTTTTTTTTTTTTTAAAATTGTCTAGGAAGGTAATACTAGAATGAATAAGTACAAATCAAAAGACCCAAGGTTGACCAAATAGCTGTAAATCAGAAGACAGCTGTAATGTTTGAACAAAAGCAAAAGCAGAAACCAGAAACAAACCGACGGAACAAACGAACAGAGAATCAGATGGAACAGACAAAACCTGGCAGAGCAGAGATTTTTGGACAGCAGGGCAGAAATGAACTAGATGGAAACAATACTCTTGGCGCAGAGAAGACTGATGAACCAGACAAGAAGAGGTTCGTGGACAACAGGGCAGATGCAGAAACGAACAAGACGGGCACAAAGGAGACTTGTTGTTGACCAGGAACTGGTACGAGCCAAGCGAGATTTCAGGTAGAGTGAGACGAACTTACATCGAGATGATTTATCCCTCAGATGATCTGGAACAAGATTTTGCACCAAAGACTCACCCGAACCAGATGTGAGTGTTGTTGACTAACTTTAACACGACAACAAGATGTTCTGACAAAGAAGAAGTTGACAACTGGGGATATGTCTAGGGGTGACAACTTTGATAGTTAGGGTTTAGACTGTGTATGAAGAGACGACTGATATGGAAGAAGTCGCCAGAGGACCAATGGCAACTGGGGTTTCGTCTAGACTAAGTATTCTCTACACTAGCTCTGATACCATATCACGGATAAAAATGTGAAAAAGAATTTTTCATATTGATCAAGTGCTTAATAGGAGAATATATACAACTTTCTACATAAAAAGAAAAGGAAATAAAAATCAAATCAATCAAATCCCTAATCATTATATATACAATCTCTAATTGTGGAACATATACACAATCTCTAAATATGGAATACATAGATATGCAATCTCAGCAGTGTCTCCTATTTCAAGGTGCCGTTGTGAAAAAATCATACTTTATCTTTTGAATGATTGTTCCCATACCTGAGCAGCTGGGCCTTTGATGGTCTTCACATGCCTTCTTCACACCCAAACAAAGGCTGTGTGATAGAAACCCACTGCGGACCTATTTTCAGAAGAAGAGACCTGGAAAAGTTGTTGAACTTGGAGAACATGGAGAAGTTACTAATTATGAAAATGGAGATGTTGCTGAACGTGAAGAAGTTGCTGGTGTTGCATGTGGGGGATTTTGAAGGAGCATTGAAGGCACACGTACTTCAACTACCAAAGCATGATCTCCACTTCTGCCATTATTCCACATGATTCTCCTAATTTTTGATTATTAGTTTCTTTTTTATTTCGCAAATAAAATATTGAGTATAAAATCTGTAAAGAAGTCCTCTTTTGGGTAGGATTATTTTTGGAGAAGCACTTTGTTTTGGGAGCCTTGTCCTTTCCACATGGACAGCAGTGTTGAATATATTATTGATCTTCATTTTAATTAATTTTCTTCTACTGCACCATGGAAGTGGTAATTTATTTATTTTTTTTGAGGAAGGTCAATAACTCCCTCCATATTGTTTTGCAATGCAGATGTTGGTTTATGAGTTCATGTCCAATGGCACCTGAGGGATCACTTATCAGGTATCTCCTATGAACTTCAATGTTCTTAAAGTTGGGTGCTGATTTATAGGTGTTACCTGTGGAACTGTGTTTGTAATTATGAATTAATGGCGCTTGCTTCAAAACACATAAATTCATTGTTTCACTCACTCCCTCTAGCAGTTTTGTTAATTCATATGACTGATTGCCCAAAAAAAATTGTATGACTATTCCTGACAGTGAATATTTTCATATTCACATATACCGTGAGTTGCTTATTGCTTGAGCAGATATTTGACATTAATGATGCCACAGGAAAATCTAAGGAGGCTCTGAGTTTTGCCATGAGATTGAGAATTGCAATAGGTTCAGCCAGGGGCATCCTTTATCTTCACACAGAAGCCAATCCTCCAATATTCCACAGGGATATCAAGGCAAGCAACATATTGTTGGATTCTAGATTTACTGCAAAGGTTGCTGATTTTGGACTCTCACGACTCGCTCCAGTTCCTGATATTGAAGGAACTCTGCCCGGTCATGTATCCACAGTAGTGAAGGGACTCCCGTAAGTTTACATCATTTGGTTAACATCTCATATAATATTTATGCTTGGAAAGAAATTTGTTTGAAATATGACATTAAAGCTAGTCAAAAATTGTTGGTATGTCAAACTTGATGAAATGTAAATCAGAATTGTATAATTTGCAGAATTTATTCTATTTATTATGTTTATGCATTTAATCTATTTTCTCTGCAGGGTTACCTCGATCCTGAATACTTCCTCACTCATAAGCTGACAGACAAAAGTGATGTTTACAGCCTTGGAGTTGTGTTTCTAGAGTTGTTGACAGGAATGCATCCGATCTCACACGGCAAAAACATTGTCCGGGAGTAATTCTCACCTTGGCTTTCGATTGTTAATCTGAAAGCAGTGCTGATCCTTTCACACATCTTATTCCTATACCTCATCACTTGAGAGCCACATATTGGTTCTTGGTTATATGCAAGAATATGAAAGAATTAGGTATTCTTGCAGAATGATCTCATTAGGTTTATAATTTTGGCACTGACAAGGAAAATATGAACTGTATATAAAGAGGTTTCCAAAATAAAATAAAAGAACATAAATTTATCAAGTAATCAATTTACAAGTTACCAGTATCTTTCCATAAACATGCACATATTTAGTAATTTTGAGTGTTTCAAATTATTATTTATAATATTTTAACTTGTTCACTTTGTTGTTTCCAGATGAAAAATTATAAATTAATTCACTAGCAATTTTATTTACATTAAATTCCTCGTGTTTTTGCTCTTTTACGGTTGTTAGGTAAAGGTGGCACATCGTTCTGGCATGGTCTTCACGATCATCGATGAAGAATGGGATCTTACCCTTCTGAATGTGTGGAAGTTTGTAAATTTGGCCCTCAAGTGTTGCCAAGAGGAGACAGATGCCGGCCTTCAATGGCAGACGTCGTCCGGAGCTTGAGAGCATATGGGCAATGATGCCTGAGTTAGACACCAGATGATCGGAGCCGCTGATCACCGAGTTGGGAAAAGTTGTGACTCCACCGTCTTATCTTCTGAGATGAAACATCCTTATGTTTCAGGAGATGTCTCTGGTAGTGATCTCGTTAGTGGAGTTGTTCCCACCATCACCCCTAGGTGATTTATTTATTTTATTTATTTTTTTTTTTTTTTTTTTTTTTTTTTTTTTTAAAAATTTACGAGAATTAAAATTAAAAAAAGGCCCAAAAAGATAAAATTTACAAAATGGGATACTAAGAAAAATTATTACAAAAATATGACCAAATATTATAAAAATTTGTCATACAATTTCTGGAAACTAATAGATAACAAAATGTGTGACAACGTTAAGCCATCTTATGACTATTTTTATTATACTGTATGAATTCAATAATTTGATGGTCAATATTTGGTCATATTTTGTAATTATTTTGATTATTATCTTATTTTGTAATATTTATTTTAAGCAGTTCTTTTGAAAGAAAAACAAAACAATCTTTTTTATTTATTTTATGTTTGGATAGTTCTGTCTCTGTAGAGTGTGAGAGAGGCTGTGCAGTCTATGGTTTTGGTGGTGTAATGTAATAGCAGTTCTGCTGACCAACCATACGATTTCTTTAAGATTTTTGGACCTAGCTTATTTTCTACTAAAAACATGAGTTTCCACTTTACATGCTTATCATATGTTGTTAAATAATTTGGAAAAAAAATAAAAAAAAATTGTTATTAATATATACATATACACACATATATATATATTTGTTAATTACAAAAGTAACCTCTTTCATCTATTTGAGATTAAAAAGACATCTTTGATGTCATTGTTAGGTTTTCTTTTGTTTTCATTTCCCTTATATATCTTTGGTGTCTCCAATAACAAAAATGGATGAAGAATTTTGAAATTGGTATTTGTATTTTTATTCGTTTTAGTGTTATGGCCAAATATTGAGAAAATGAAACAAGAAAAAATTGTTCTCAAACAAGGGAAGTGTTTTGAAAAATTAATCCAATAGTATTTTTTAGATATATTTTTTCATAAAATTTTAGGCGTCACTTTTTTTTTTCTTCTAAAAATGAAAAATATAGTTTGATAAATAAACCACGCTCAGGAGACTTAAATAATTATATTTTTCACAAAAAAAAGTCACTTTCGGAAGGGGGTGTCTATCTTTTTATCGATATAAGCCAACTTTTCACTGAGAAATTAAAAATTTATTTTTATATTTGATTTTTATAATAAGAAATTGGCTTTCCATATTAGAGAAGTAAAAATTTGGTTAAACTTTCCAACAGTTTCTTATAATGAAAATCTAACTTTTTGTAAACCAGACCTCACAAAGGCTTGATTTTTTTATATTATCAAAAAAGAAAATCTGAAATTTAAAGAAATTTTAACACTAAAATATTTCTTATCTTTACTTATCATCACAAATTTCAAGAATATTTGCTTCGTAATAGAAGTTAATTCTTGAATAAAAGACTTTTCAATCTCGAGAAAATTTTAATTTCTTCTAAAAAGATTAAATTTTTTGTATAAATTAAATTTAATAATTATTTTTACTCATTATTTTTTGTTTCTTTTCATTGTACAAAAAATTAAATTTAATAAAATTTAACCTTTTATATTATTGAAAAAAATTTGAAATAATAAAAATTATATCAACACTAAATGTACTATATTTTTTATTGTCATGCATTATTAGGAATTTCAAATGATATATATGGTGCTTATTTTTTACGACAAGAAATTTTATCTGAGCCAATAATTATTTATTTATAAAATTATTCCTCTACTATTTAAGTAATCTCACTAATTTCAGAAAATAAAAAGAATAAAAAGCCTTTTTTTAATTAGTTTTGGTGTTGAAGATTTTTTCTTTTGGTTTTACTTTTTTAAAATACGCTTCCTTGCCTGCAAGTCAAAAAATGAAAAAGAAATATAAAAAAAAAACTAACAGTACAGGTTTCGTCGTCAGATCCCAGAAGTCTCTGGGCTTGAGCTCCTGTTCAACAAAGTCGGCCCATGAAAGCCCACCCGCCACCGCATGACGTAGGCTCACACGAAACGGGCTTGGGCTTCCCCTTGCATCTGATATATAAATAGTCGCGCCAAGGTTTAGGGTTCGTTCTTCATTCGCTTGCGAGAAGACGGTGCAGCGGGCTGGTAGAGCAGAGGAAACTCGAGATGGGGAGGAGTAAGTCTCTCTCTCTCGTTTAGATGTATACATGCGCTTACGTATTGACGTTCAGCGTGTTTATGTTTCTATGCATCCGAAGAAAAACTCATTTTTCTGTATCTCTATGCCTGCCTGTTAAGTGGACCGCTGTTTTCATTTGGTTCTTGCCCAGAAGCTACTTAATTCATTTGTCCAGATGTGCACTTTGATTGTATGCCGAAGCCTGTTTGATATTTAAATGTTATATGTTATACGAATTCGTCGCTTATTTTTGTCTGTATTTGATTTTGATTAGGTTATAGATCTCGTTGATTTGGTTATAAAAAACTAATTGATTGGATTTTTGTGAATACCTGGAGTATTTAGGCATTAGTAGAACTAAGGGAGAAATAATGCGGGGTTTGGAATTCTGTGTTGGTAACCTCAGTTGTCTGAATTTGAGTTGTGCTTGTGGTTATGTAGTTTTAAGGATTTTATTCCTTTCTCCTAGTTCCTCTGCTGGTTTTTCTATTTGAAGTTGTTGGTCGAGGTATTGTCTAAGAATTTTATTCCTTTCTTCTAGTTCCTGTGCTGGTTTTTCTATTTGAAGTTCTTGGTCGAGGTATTGTCTAAGAACTTTATTCCTTTCTCCTAGTTCCTCTGCCGGTTTTTCTTTTTGAAGTTATTGGTCGAGGTAGTTTTGCCCGAGTTGGATACTGAGTATATTGGCATGGAAATGAACGAAATTCGAGGGTTATTTAGTCCTATGTTTTATTTGGAGTTCTATTTTGGGAAAACAAGAAATGGAAGCCCTCCTAAATTCTTATCTGGGGTTTTTTAATTGGTTTTCAGGGGGCGGCTTTTGAATTTGCTAAATCTGAATAAAGTAGACGTATTCTTTAGAAATTTATAGTTTGAAACAGAAAATGATTTAATATTTATGAGAATTAGTCTTTAGAATTGAGCATAACCGCTTTGAAGTAATCATTTCCGCTTGAATCCTTTAAGAGGAGGTTGCCTGCTGTAAATAGCATGTGTATGCTTCAACATGTTTATGTTTATTTTATAAAACATGCACATCCCCTGTTCTATTTATAGAATTTGGGATAGGAAAAGCCTATGCATATACATAAACTTTTTTAACGGCACTTGCAAAGCATGCTATTTGGGAACAAATTGCAGCTCCACCCCTTGCTGCTAGTCTAGATGTTGTAGGAAGACCAAAGTTAAATTCCAAAAGGTATCTAATTCTGATCAGTACTTTTGGCTGTCAGCAATAGTTGCCAACTCTCCATCTGATGAACAATAATTCCTCTATATGATAGTTTGTTGGGTCTTACTGTTTAAAGGTAAAGTTTGAAGGTTATTAGTTAACCTTTCTTTTTTCTGTAACTTTAAAAGATCTATCTGCCAGATTGTTTATTTTCTTGTATCTGGTTACTGTAGTTGTGGTTGTCTCAAGTGATCACTAGGTGGTTTTGATTAGCATAGAATGTGTATAATTGTGATTGTGTACTCTTGAATCAATAAAGTGCAAGGCATCATATTCATTTCATTTTCGTAGGACCTGCAAGGTGCTATCGTCAGATCAAAAACAAGCCTTACCCGAAGTCCAGGTATTGCCGTGGTGTGCCAGATCCTAAGATTAGGATTTATGATGTTGGAATGAAGAAGAAGGGAGTAGATGAGTTCCCTTTCTGTGTGCACTTGGTCAGTTGGGAGAAGGAGAATGTCTCTAGTGAGGCACTGGAAGCTGCACGAATTGCGTGCAACAAGTACATGACTAAGTATGCTGGAAAGGATGCATTCCACTTGAGAGTGAGGGTGCATCCTTTCCATGTCCTGCGTATTAATAAGATGCTTTCATGTGCTGGAGCTGATAGACTCCAGACTGGGATGCGTGGGGCTTTTGGTAAGCCTCAGGGAACATGTGCTCGGGTGGCTATCGGTCAGGTCCTTCTCTCTGTCCGGTGCAAAGATGCTAACAGTCACCATGCCCAAGAAGCTTTGCGCCGTGCAAAGTTCAAGTTCCCTGGTCGTCAGAAGATCATTGTCAGCAGGAAGTGGTATGCATTCATCTTTTTAATTTGCTTTCTTCCTGATATTGCTCATCCATTGTTTTGTTTACATCTAGTGTTGTGGACTTGTGAGTTTCAATGTAATTGCCCTCAACCTTTGTGATATGATAGGGGATTACCAAGTTCAGTCGAACTGACTACATGAAGTGGAGATCTGAAAACCGCATTATGCCAGATGGTGTCAATGCTAAGGTATGTTTTATATTTTTGGTGTGTATAGAGCTAACCATTTTTGTCAATTCTTGTCGCAGCTGATCTTTAATATGCATATAAATTGACCATATACGAAGAAATTAACTCTTAATTTGATTCTTGCAGCTCCTAGGATGCCATGGACCTTTGGCCAAGCGTCAACCTGGGAGAGCATTTTTACCTGCTACTGCATAAGACATTTTGACGACCGACTATGCCTGAGCTGCCCCAGCAATCCATAGCGTAAGGTCTTCATATCTGCATTTTGTAGTGCTTGCTGGTTTATTTCCATACTGTATTTCTTTATAGGGAAGTTGTTTTGTGTTTCTGCATCATTGTGTACTGGAAAATTTGAAATGCGTTGCTTCATATTGTGGAAGATGAGCCTTATTCTATCTGTTATATGCATGTGGCATTTTATTAGATTCCTAGTGGATGTTCGATTCATTTGAAAAAAAAAATAGTATATTTGGATTTCTAGTTTTTGGCTTTTTAGGTTACTTGGTAAAAAGTTAAAACTAAAAAAAAAAAACCTTGAAACTAAGCTTTTATGGACTTTCGGTTTCTCGGGTTAGTGTATTTCTTTAAAAAGGCTTTTTATTATTATTTGCATGTAAACAGAGCAAATAATTAATAATATTCATTTTTTATTTTTACTTTTTTACGTTTGTGTAAATTTAGGCTATCAAACGCAAAAAAAAAAAAAAGTTTATTCCCTTTGCAAACAAGTTAATCGTGACAAAATTACACAAAAAGTGAAATCTTTTTATTCTGTTAAATAAAAAATTGTGAAAAGACCTTAATTAGGTCTATATCAAATCTAAATTCTGCACTCGAGGGATTAGTCCATTATAGTAGCTTATAATGGTTCGGGTGTAAGATATTTTCGTTCACAGCTATCAAACTCTAGCTGTAATTTTTGAACCGGAGAAATCACGGGATGTTTGGTTTTACGTTTTGCCATAAATGAGATTTTTCTTTATGGTTTTTTTTTAAATTATAAAGATAGTTTTTAAGTTTTTATCAATTAATTTATTCCAAGCTAGAAAGCCTTCATGCACTGAAAATAAATGAGTTTAAAAAGATTTTAAAAAATAAAGTACCAGGCCGTAAATGAGCTAAATTTACATAAAATTATATAAATTTAAATTTAATTAATTATTTTTATATCAAATTAGATAGGAATATAATACTTTTTTATGTTTAAATTTTATTTTATTTATTTATATTAATTTCTCAATTTTTTAATTTAATTCTTATTGTTTTAAATTTATTAATATTATGTATATAAATTTATTAATTTAATAAAAAATTATTGAAATTTAAATTTAAATTCTTAATAGATTAAATTATTTGATTTCATATTCAATCTAAATATTTATAATTAAATCCAATTCCTTAAATATTTTAATAAATTTTGAATTCTAAAATTCAAATCAAATTAAAAATGTTAAAATTAGTAGAATTACAGATGTAGTCAAAGCTTTAGCTTTAGTACTCTTACAAAAACACCAAAATTAGTAGAATTATAGATGTAAATTGCAAAGGAGATGGTATTCCACAAAATTACTCAACCATCTTCTCGAGGAAAAATCAAAATCCAATTTCAAGTCTTCAGTTTCCATCACCTCTGCTTTCTAGTCAAAGCTTTTGAGGACCTTACATCTTTCTTTGCCTTGGCTGAATGTTTTGGTTTAGTCTTATTCTTCTTACCCGGCTTCTCCTCCAGATGCAATCTATTCTTTTCTTTGCTGTCTTCTTCATCTTTGGTTGTCATTTCGTCTTCTTGGTTCCTGCAACTGGATGCTCTAATAATGTAGACCTGCAGAGTAGGGAGACATTTTGTTAGTTTCTAGAACCAAAGTGCACATTTAAGAGGTGTAGTTTATGGGATGTTTATGGCAATGTCATTTCTACGTACTAATCAGAAATCTTACTTGTACAAAGTTATTACCAAATTCGATTTCTAAATTTTAGTAGAGCATCACCAAACAAGTACGGGAGTAGATTATAATTAGTAGAACAAAACAAACTAGCATATCTTTTGTTGTCGCTTTGGCTACCTGGTACTGTCTTAAAAGATGTATTCCAGGTCTACATGTAAAAGATGACCACCAAGAAGGAAAGTTACCTTAAATCCGGTTGGTTTAATCAATTCAAAGACCAAAGCATCACCATCGTCCAACTTATGATCTAGAGCAAATCCTCTCCACCCACCACTTAGCCCAGCTCTCTTGCCAATGTAGATGGCGTCATACGCAGTGCCATTTTCATCTTCTAGTACTACATCTACTACACTTTTGGGAAGATGATCCTCACAGAATTTTGCAGGAAGTCCCTTATCACATCGCAAAATAACTTAATGCGGTAGAATATAGTGGCAAGGACATAAATATGACATAATGTACTATTACAATCTACCAACAGAACTAGCATAAACAATATATACAAAACCTTGTAATTTGGTTTAGGGTTGCGCAAAAAACTGGTCAAATTGCAAGATCAAACGCCCACCTAATGGTTTTGGTCCACATTTAGATAAACCTCAAACCAAAAAATGTGATTCAGTTTCAGTTTCAGGTTTTCATGAACCAGTTGAAATTATATTGAATCTAACCAGCAATATATATACGTCTATTCATATAATTATTTTACTTCTTATGTATAATGTACTGTAATATATTGGTTCAACCGTTCAATTCAGTTTGGATTTTCCCAAACCAATTTAAACCAGTTAATTTCAAATTTATTCATTAACCAATCCTAACTTAATCGCACACATCCCTTGATTGAGAGGATCACAAATCCAAGCAAAATTTTCCATGGAAACTTACCAACCAAAAACAACTGTAAACATGAGAGCGGACCATGGATTTGACAAAAGATGGATTTCCAGATTGTAGATTGCTTTGGAGCTTCTCTGCACGCTTAAAAGCTTCAGCCCTTTCTTCGTATGTAGCAGTTTTAACCTCATCCAATGGTCTTGCAAGATAGCTGGAAATTCCATTAAATTATTAGTTGAAACCAAAATTTGGAATAAAATAAAAAGCATTATATTCCATTATATATGCAACCTTGCCCACGTCGTCTTTGATCTCTTTCGCCAAGTTGGAAGCTCTATATCAACCTGAGATGAAACTAAATATTGTCAACCATGAAACTGATGCAACTTGTGGATATATAAGCATACCAACAAAACATATAACTACAATGTGAAAATTTCAAATAAATGAAGTGTACAAGTTATTACACAAAGTTATTACACAGCCATTTGGATACCAGAAACTGATCGTACTAAATTTGCAGCCTCCATATTGCCCACCCTTTTGGTTTGTAAGAAAGAAAAGTAGAGAATGCTATTACTAACATCATCACGATATGAAGGAACTGGATTGCGTGCACGAGAAGAACGTCTTGGCTCTATTGCGTAGGTACTCTGTTTAGGTTTTGAAAGACGTTGCTGCAGAATGAAATTATAAGCAGAAGATTAAAAACAAAAGTGGACAGGCCCTATTTTCAACTATGTACAGCGGGTTTTTGCATTTACCACAGACTTCTTCTCAGAACTTTTGAGATTGGATAGGCTCTTTGAAATCTTCAAAATCCCAAAATCCTTCAACAAGACAAAAGTATAAAAATAGAATAGATTAGCATTGGAGATCGCTGTAGCTACACATGTGGAATATAATTAATTGCTAGGAAGTAGTATTGCAGCTGTACTCTCTATGAACATAAATACTGTGTGTAGCCAAAGTACTGAAACAAGCCTAATTTGTCTAAGCAGAGCAAAAGAAAGAATAATATGTAACCATTGCTTAACCATCTAAAGTAATAAAACCAACAGCTGCAAACGACCAATTGTAGGAGATTAAAAATTGGAACTGCATCGGGATTACTTTTGGCCTTCTGGGATGGCAGGCATCCACGGATATATGCATATAGACAGATATATACATAGCCTGAATGGTTATAGTTCACGGAAATGGGGTTGTATATGAGAAGAAATATGCTGCTAAACGATGCAAAAGATGGTACCTCGAAGCGCTTTTTATTGTCTTCGACTCGTTTCTTGCGAGCCTCCTCATAGGTGTTGACATTTTTCTTGGTCATTGTAAGCAGAAGTTCAGGAAAAGGTTATCCAATCTTTGCCTAACGTATTCTTCCAATACCAAGTGTGTGCTTTCTTAGTGATGCATTCATAGGTAACTCCAGTTGCGTGCCAGAACTTGACCGTAGTCAATAGGAACCTGGAGCAGCAGACCAGAAGTAAAATTTTAAACTACTTAAAGTTCTAGCAATCTAGGATCAAACCACTACTCTGGACCCAATTTTGTTTGGGGTCCAGATTTTTGCATGTTTCAACCATGTCCAATCTGTCCAAGTTGCAGCCCTATGGTAAATTTTCGCAAAGATGATTCGAAATAAATCTCCGAGTACCAAATTTACCAAGGATTCTGATCATAAGATTGAGATTCATTGATTGGTATAGCCATACAAACGGTAATTCACCACAAAATAAAATGAAAAAGGACTAGTTCCATATCATTTTTTGCCGTGGAAGTCATTTTCCAAACAACGCCATTCTCACCATGAGATTCCAAAACGAGGAATTTCCGAATTTTTTTTCTTTGTCAAAACCGAGACCACAGACTACACATCCACGCAGGTATCTGATATAGTGAAAGAGGGAGAAAAGAAAAAAAACTGTATCGCATAGGAAACAGGAAATCAGATTATGAGAGCTCTTTTTTCCTTTGGTGGATTGATGAAAGACCAAAACTTATTAATACAAGAGTTGATCGTGCAGTTCAGACCTACATATAGACGTAACTTTTCGGGAAATGAGAAGATTGGATTGCTTCACTGAGCCATCAACCCGGAGCTAGAGCTTCAGATGGGTCATGGAGCTGGAGCTCATGGACACCACCATACAACTCGCACATTCGCAGAGCGAAAGACAGAGAGAGACGTTGCTGGAGGAGATGGGGGAGAGAAGCGACTAGTTTGAAATTTGAAATTGGGTGGCAGACAGAGATGGAGGCATTCTCGAGTTTAGTGCTATATATTTATATCCATCTCCGGCATTTGGCTGTCAGCAGACTCGGCAGTGCGCAGCGCGCATCCTCCGGTGGTATCCTACCCCTGCGGCTCGTGTTGTCCAAACGTCGACGTCCGGTGATATTTTAGACTTGGTGTCACGTTCCCATGGAAGGGTGAAAAGGAAGAGAAATAAGTTACTAAAAAAATAATTTGAATGTCCTATCATGTTATAAGCAAATTATTCTCTTATTATAAGTTAATATTCATATATCTTAAAAATAATAATATTAGTGAAAAAAAAAATTCATTGAATTGGGTCCTATTAAAGAAGCAGCAAGTTAAATAAGCAGAAGGATAGGCCAACTCTGTCTCTTATTAGTTTCTTTTTTTTTTTTATTTCTTACAGCCGTTTTTCTGAATCTGAAAAAGCGGTAAAAAGTTAAAATGTAATTTTGACAGGATGATAAATAACCTCAAAAGCATACAGTAATCTCTGACGGGTCAAAAAGAAATAATTGACATGGGACGCCGCCAAAACAATACTCGTAATACTAACTTAATTCGAGTCAAATTCTCCTCGGAGCTGTTGGGTGAATTTAAAGCCATAATGATAATGTCGTCAGTGGTGACCAGCATCGGCCCAACAGAAAATGACTGAGTGGAATTTTAACAGCGGTACTTCGTTTTATTTGTCAGATTGGTCCTCAAATTATTGATTAATATATAAATATCCCAAACTATTTAGATACATCACAATCAAGTCACACTTAAATAAAGAGGATGGCTCAAATCCGAAATAAATGAACTTGTGCGGTATTATATTTTTGCAGTATGGCACGTGCTTGGCCATCAACCGAATACTAAAATGAGTGTGCAAGGCAAAGGACGATGCAAGTCATTTGAATTCTTTGTCCGCAGCTACTGAAATGAAAAATGGCATGGGATGACAGATATCCAAACCACTCAGAAGTTATTAATGGAAGCTATAGAGCTGCAAAATTCTGACTCATTTGCATTTTGCACCCCTAAAATAGAGGGTTTTGGCACTTTACACTCTATAATTTTAAATTTGGTACTTTACACCTCAAAAATAATGATTTTTTAACACTTCACACCTTAAAATTTTAAAATTTGCACTTTGCATCCTAAAATTTTTTAAAATTACAAAAATACACCCTATCTTTAATTGCTTATTAAAATTAAAGGTAAATTTAGAATTTCATGTAAATGAAGAGTAAAAAAATCATAAATAACACAAACCCTTCATTTTTTTTTGTTCATTTCACTCTATTTAATAAATTTCCACTCAATTTATATACATATTAACGGTATGAAAAAATTAAAAAATTTGGTACTATTCAAAATTTTAAAATTTTAAAATTAAAAATAAAGTTTTGATAAAAAAATATAAAAAATATTTGAAGTGACTACAAATTAATAACTAATAATTATTTTATATAAAATACTAGACAAATTAAGAATTATAATAACTATTTCAAATAATTATGTTTGTATAAAATATCTAGACAACTTAAGAAATAAAATAGTCATTTTAAATATTTTTTATATTTTTTATCAAAATTTTATTTAAATTTTAAATAGTACTAAATTTTTTAATCTTTTACATATTATTAATACGTGTATAAATTGAGTAAAAGTTTATTAAATAGAGTAGAAATAACAAAAATAAATAAAAGGTTTAAATCCTTTATGATCTTTTTACTCTATATTTACATGAAATTCTAAATTTATCCTAAATTTTAATAAGTAATCAAAGATATGGTGCACTTTTTATAATTTTGGGAGGTTTTGGGCTCAAATTTAAAATTTTATGGTGCAAAGTGTTAAATTTAAAATTTTGGAGTGCAAAATGTTAAAAACTATTATTTTTGGAGTGTAAAGTGACAAATTTAAAATTATAGAGTACAGAGTGCAAAAATTCTTTATTTTAGAGGTGTAAAGTGCAAATGAGTCCAAAATTCCGTTATGGCAAAGACAGTGAATTAACTTGTTGGTATTCTTATTTCACAGAACAGGGGAAAAAGGAAAATTCCTCCCGAAAACCCACTTAAGCATACCCCATTGACTTCAGTGCCTGTCCTTGTACTGTTGGACGTACCTGTGTGCACAGAGGAACCAAACATCAATACAATTAAACGTGCTGAGACCAAAGCTAGGGATAACAATGCCAAACATGTGTCTTCTTTAAGCTAGAGATCATTACAAAAGTTCCTACAGCTTTGGGTTAATGTATGTAGATAGCAGCCAAATCTTCGTGTCGGTTAGATTTATCAATGCAGAGCTGAACTTCTAAGCAAGCATAATGCTGGAGGTCTTCCTCTAAGATATGATCAAGTTAAGATGTTTGAATAACATTTGAACCTTAACTACTAATATTTAGTGTCGATCATAGTTACCAAACGCTTGGGCAACCTTTGTCTCCAGACTCGCTATACTGGCAATTATCCGAGTGATCACCTAGGGGTTATCTTACTTTCCCCTCCCCTCTTTAACCCCTGCTTGATACCCTTTTTCTGATTGTCAGGTTTTCTGTTATTTTAAATAAATTTATATTTGTATAGTTATAAATTTTGTGAATACCTGGTCAAAACAATTGAAGTTACAAAAAATATGATATCACAACCCCATTTTCTGTTGTGTTCTGCTCTGTTTTGTTTCCTTTTTCTTTTCTCTCTTTCTTTCTCATTTTTTATTTTTGGAGAGGAGGGGGGGGCTCTATTTGATGTTAGAACTCACCAATGGGTTGATGGTGCTTATATCTATTGAATCAGTATCAACAAGTTAGAACCAATGCCAAATAAATTCAAGGGAAAGAAGACGTGGGGCATAAGAGGACTAAGGATAATGAGTAAGCATGAGTTTAATCCTAATAATTTCTCACTTTTCAAAAAAATAAGCTATTAACTGAATTATATTATTTACTGGAAGTAGATCCCAGAAAGATGTAATATTATAAAAGAATAATTCTTAGAATAACATAAATCTTAAATACAACGGAAAGGATTCCAAGAAAGATGTAATATCATGAAAGAATAATTCTTAAAATAACATAAATCCTAAAACACAATGAGAAAGGTTCAAGTACAAATTAGGTTTTCATAAATTAGATAGCCCTATGTGTTTTGCACCAAAAATCCATTTTAATACATTTTCCTCTCTTAGGCCTAGGTCCCTTCATAATAATAGGTATATTGTTTTAAATATGTGAATGTGTGAGAGAGTTTTTTCTTTTTTTGAAAAAAAAAATTGAAGTATAAGCAAGAGAGAGAAACAAGAGGGGAGAGGTGGAGGATATCGACTGGTCATGGCAGAAGTCCAATTTGCTAGCTGTGAACAGTAAGAAGGTGTTGGGGCAATACTACCAGCGGGAGTTGGTGGTATTTCAATTAAAGGTGTGCAAACTATAATTTTGGTTTGATTTTTGATATTTTGGTTTAATTTTTTGGTTTTTTAGTTTTAAAATTTTTAAAACTAAATCAAATCAATTTAATTATAAATTAAACCAAACCTAACTTAAAATTTCGATTCAATTGGGTTTGATTTTAAGTTTAATTTTTTATTAATTAAAAAATATTTAAATAAATTATTTATTTAATTTTTTATTATTAAATATACATGTATGTGCATGTGTATGTATGTGTGTACATGTATATATATTTGTACACACACACACACACATAACATGTATATGTATATATTTATATATATATATATATTCATATAAATATAAAAACATATATGTATGCGAGTACATGCACATATACATATAGATATATACGTACATGCATAAATATATAAATACATACATTTATGTATTTATTTATATATGTATATATACATGTGTGTGTACATATAGACATACATACATATATATATATATATATAGACACACACATACATAACACATATATATATCTACATATATGTATAAATACATATGTGTACATATATACATGCCCGCACGCACACACACATGTATATATATATATATATATATATATATATAGACACACACACACACATACATGCATAAATATATAAATATATGCATTTACGTATTTATGCATACACGTGTGTGTACACGCTCACACATATTCTGTGCGTGCGCTTGTATATATATATGCATATATATATATATGTATTTATATATTTATATACAATATAAATATATGTACATGTATATATATTTGTATGAATATATAAAATTTATATATGTATGTATGTATGTATGTTTGTGTGTGTACATATACATAAAAGTATATATGTATATATACACATGTATATATGTATGTATATACTTATATATCTGTGTATCTATATATTTATATACAATATAAATATATGTACATATATATTTATATTGTATGAGTAGATAAATATATATAAATATATATATGTATATACAAATACATAAATATATATTTATATAAATATATATATGTGTGTATATATTAATATTTTTTTTAAAGAATTTTCAAAATTTTGGTTTTTGATTTAAAATAGTTTGGTTTGTTTTAAACCAAACCAAACCATATTTTTGGATTATTTTTCTAAACCAAACCAAATCAAACTAAATTTAAAAAAAAAACAAATCAAATTTTTAAAATTTAGTTTAGTTTGGTTTAATTTTATTAATTGGTTTGGTCTTGCACACCCTTAATTTCAATACAGAGACTGAAAGCTGGAAAAGGAAAAAAACATATATATTAATAAAACTAGGTTTTAGGTTAAGTGTGTTTTAATGCAGTAAGTTCACTATCTGAAATTTAATAAAAAAATATGATTTGATAATAAAATAATATTTTTTTATATTTAAATCTCTTAACTTTATTTAATTAATCATATTAGTTTATAAATTTTTTAATTTTTTTAATTTAATTAATATAATTTTAAATTTATTAATATCATATATAATTATTAATTTAATTAAAATATTATTAAAATTCATATTCGGATCTATAACAAATCGGGTTTCTTAATTTCATATTTGATTCACTTATTTTAAATTACAAACATTTATAATTATATCTGATCTATTATATATTTTAATCAAACTAGACTTCTAAATTTTGAATCGAATATAGATTAGATTCGGATCAAATATAACCCATTGATAATTCTACCCTGATCTATCTATTCCAACAACATTATCAAGATAATTTTCCTTTTTTGGATATTTAGAAAGATTTGAAATGAATTAAAATATAACCCAATTTCATTAAGCAATTCATTTTGCATGTTTCGACCCTAGAAAGATGTCTACATTGTGTTCTATCAATCAATTATAATATTTAAATATTTCAAAATTAAATATATAATATATTTTGTAATATCCTAGACTCGATTATTTAATATAAAAATAGTCAAAATATATTTGAAATTTAAATAAAACAAAATTCATTTATTATTAATATTGAAATTCATAATGTACACAGCGTACTAAGTATGAATATAAATATATTTTAAAAATATATAAAAATATATAAAATATATATAACTTTGGTGTGACAAAAAAATATACACACACATACACATCAAACCACTGCAACTATTTGAACTGAGAAATGATATCTCCAAAAATTGATAAAGGGTAGAAAATTTTATCAATATTAATATGTAATTATCTTTATTATTTTTAATTATTACACAACTTAAATTTTTATGTTTTAAGAATTCAAAGGTGTAATTATATTTCGTACTTAAAACGTTAATTTTATCAAACAAGGCCTCAGCTTCCTCATCATTTAAACAGAATGCCTCACAACCGTTTAATACTCAATTTGTCAGTCAAAAGGGGTAAAAGAACACTGTCAAAAACTTACAAGGTAAATTCTTTTGGCTTCTGAACACACTTGTCTTGTTTTTATTGGCTGCTATAAACAGCACGTAGCATCGTAGCATCAAATGAACCTGAAAATACTAACAGCAAAAGGTGAAGAAAATGAGGTGGCAGCGAGGAATCAAGTCAAAACACCAAACCACAGAGAATAATTGTATGAATCAATATCCAGTCAAATCTTCCAAACAAGAAGGAAAAAGAAACCACAACCTTGTCATTCTCTCATTATTCCCAAGTAAAAGTGCCAGTGGCTTTAGATAGGCCACCAGATAAGAATAACAAATAGCCAAGTTCAATAACAAATAGTGCAGAAGGGTTTCTTCTATTTTTACACAGAAGGCAAACCAGTTATACATGGAAAGCTCTAACGTATCCTCTTCCCTTTCTATTTCCCTTGTCTTGACACCGTCGAAACAAGCTCTGGCAATAAAATCCTCAGTGGAGGCTGTATCGTGGTGTCTAGAGGAAGCAGAAGATGCCAAGGAGCTCACAAGGAGACCATAGACAAGCAAAATATTAGGTTTCCGATATCTTTCTACCAACCGGTCTTTGTTCGCTTTATCCCAACAGAATTGAAAGGGGAGGCACTTCCACATGGCCGGGGGCTCTCTTCCCTAGTATTGGAATTAAGCAGTGCAAGTTCTCTTAACTGCTGCATTTTGTAGAAATCCTGTGACTCGTCCTGCAAATGAAGAACGTATCACAATTATAATTCACTTACAAGAGACACATAGGTAACTTTACAAACAGGGGCCGGTATATACTATTCTAAAGAATATTCACCATAGTCATCAAAACTAGATCACCCAGTTCAATCAGTTGAACGGGAAAACAGCAGGTGGTCCAGTTTTTTTCAATTAATCTATCAGAAATGAACCATAGGCAGATTGAATTGTTGTCAACTGGATCGAAGTTAACCACCCTTGATTTCTTATCGTGAGAACCCAAAAAAAAAAAAAAGGAAAGAAAAAGTTGCACTGAGCCTTGAACCAGAGACCTCCATTTCTTTTTTCTTGAAAGATATGTACATTCAACACATATCAACTCTCACAAAAATATAACCAAAAAAAAAAAAGAAAAGAAAAGGTATTGCAGTGTGCTTTAACCAAAGACATAAATCACAAAGTGGTAGAAGGTCTCACCATTTCATTTGGGTTAAATTTGTTATTGGTATCCACAAATTTAATATCTATCGACCATAATTACTTCATACAAATGTAGTCTTATTTTTCATATTTTACATATGTAGTCCATTATTATTAAACCGGTTGAACTGGTTGAATGACAGTTGAAGCCGTCCTGTCCTTTGACCAGTTTGATGTTTGGTCCGGTTCTGATAGCCGCTATGCACTGTTGATTTTGTGTTTGAGCAGGTTATATCTTAGTATCACAGAGAACTAGATAGAGAGAAGAATGATATTGTGATGTATCAGATATAAAGGACTGGGATAGAAATACAAACCACTGGTTTGAGCACTTCTTCAATAATTTCTCGCGCCTGTCTCAACTGAGCATCTACAATGTTGACAGGTAATTCAGCCTCAATTAGAATGTGTAGTGGATCATTCAGATGCTCATACCCTGGTCTTCCTCTTAAAGTCTCCTCCTTCGTAATGCATAAAAATTTGAGTTAAAAAAAACTGAACTTTCAGAAAGAGCTCACAAGATGAAAACACATATACAAGACACAATATTACAAACATTTTAAGTGGAAACCATCTTTAAGTCGTAAGCTTGATCTGGTGGATGTTTGGCCTAGTTTAAAACTTCCTATTGCAAGTCACTGAATATTTTTTTTTTCATTTCTACCTGTTTGGTAATAGCAAGTGGAATGAAGCAACAATAAGCAGAAAAAAAAGGAGGAAGAATAAGCACCAGTTCCCCAAGTCTGTGGTTTTAACTTATTGTTGCCTCCTAATATTAGCACCTCATTTATGATTACTTTTATTTCTTCCTCTATTATTTTAAATTATCCCTATTGCTTATTGATCATAATAAGTACTTTCATCATCAATAGTAACTTCTTGATTTCAAATCAGTACCATAGTGCTTTAAGCAATTTCATTCAGCAAAATCTAATATTAAACCTTAAAAGATTTGGGTGATCACATATTCTCTATCGTGAATATAATTATCACCTTGTCAAGGTCTCTTATTGAGCCTTTTCCTCTAATGAATACACGGCAACCTGTTGAAGCTTCCACCCGCTTTAACGAATTGCCCCGAGGTCCTAGAAGCCGCCCTACAAAGTTGAACTAATGTACACAGCAATACAATCAGCCCAAGCACTGTTGAATGTTTTTTAAAAAAAAAATTCAAAGACCTTTGTTTTATCTATAAAGGAGGTCAAGGGATTAATGTCACATGGCTTACATTTGGATAGCTGTCTACTGGTATGTCCAAGCGCAATACCCTCTTCACGATGAAGGAACTTGGGCTTCCTTGTGCTGCTTGCCAGTCCATTCTCCCTTCAGGTCCACTAAATTTCTGTTTTGCAGATGAATCCAAGGCTTATTACAACTGGAGTAAAGGTCATATATTGAAAGAAAGAAAAAAGAGACTGGATATAAAACACCTTAAACACAGGAAAATAGGAAAGGCAAAATACAGACAAGGACTTCCAAGATCTGAGGCAGAGATGATTAATAACTACCTACTTGGTACATGCTTAGGATTAACTTTAAGCTCTTTTGTTTTCATGTCATTTTCATTTTTTGACAAAAATAGTTCATGAGAATTCTGAACTAACTTTTGTTTGTTTTCTAAAAATGAGAACGTTTCTAAATATTCATCCAAAAACAATTTGAAAAGAACCTGCCATACATGTTTTCAGTTTTTGCAAAAAAAATAATAATAATAATAAAATAGCTCAAGATTTCTTACTTTTTTTTCTTAATCTTTTCAGGTCCTACAAGAATTCCTTCAGCGACAGATAAACAGGAAGAAAGCCATACAAGGTCAAAATGGGAAAGGATATCTCATCAGAAACAATGTCCCAATCACTAGAAAAAATCTAAGCATTAACACAAACGGTATTTCCAGGAAGAACTTCGTTTTTATCTGTGACTATCATTTAAACAGGAAAGCAAAAATAAAGGGAAAACAAAAGCCAAAATTCTACTATTTTCTGATAATGATTTATAGTGTACAATACCTCATAATGGGGCGGGAAGTGGGCATACAATAATCCTGACTGCTTTAAATTGACAAACTTTAAAAGTCCTAAGAATGCATATGAAAACAAAATCCAGAGCCTACATGAAATTTAACTCAAGCCAAAGCTAAAGATTCAAATCATAAGAAAAGATAGTAAATTATTCAAACAGTATGGGTTTAGCTCTTTTTATGCAGTAAAAAATATCTTTTGCTCCAAAAGTGATATTTAATTCTTAATTCATACCCCAGGGCATGTCAAATTCTAGTTAAACAAATAACTAAGACAAGTATACACTATATAATTATATGATAGGGGAGAATTATAAAATGAGACCATACTATAAGATTAGGGACAGAAGCACAAGAAAAGCGATTGGAAGGAGTCACAAATTCAGTCGTTTGGAGCAACAAACCAAAAAACTAGTTACCTCAAATGGAAGGCCACTCCAGCCACCTAAACCTGTTCCTCCAAGATTTGGCAACAGCTCTGAAGACGCCATTGGACTAGGGCTTCCACGTTGCAGTCTTTCATAGTCACTCAACTCTTGGTTCACGCCAGAAACTCTTAGAATCTCTGTCAAGATTAGTAATAAAATGTTTATTTTCCCTTTGATCCTGAAAATGAAATATTTCCAGACAAACTTTTTCTTTTCTAAGTAGGTTAAACTAGACATTGTAAATTCTTAGCATAAAATGTTCAGATGCAGAATACAATAATTGAATGAAGAGACAGCAATAAACCAAAATTCTATGATATAGAGAGAACATTCAAGTTAGAATCAAATAATTTAAAAGAATTGAAAGAAAGAAAATTTATACGTGATGATTTGGCCATTCAAAAATAAGAATCAAACTGTCAATTCGTTAGATAAATCAACTATTAGAGTAGTCATTGTTAGGAATTGTCAAAAAGTCTATAGCATAAAGTCAGCAGAGTAAAATCGAATGATCATTGACAATATGTAGAAGTTTCAATAACAAGACTAAGTAAACTTTGCAAGATCATTGTTCAAGGTTCTTTCATTGATTTTTGAACCATCCTGCAAATCATGAATTTAAATCTATCTTTAATATTTCATAGAATATTACTCGAAATGAAATGAAAACAATAAAAACAAAGCAATTGATACTCAATTCAATCCTCCTCGTAGACACATATAAGGAGAATTAAATAGTAGAGTCAGAAAAAAGGGCTGTTTGCTAGGCAACTTTTTCGATTATGAGTTTGGCTTTTGAGGTTTGAAAAGTCCAAAAAGCCAGAATCCAGAATCTGTAGCTTACTGTCTCAATCCCACAAGATATGAAATCCTAATTTTTTGGCTTTTTCGGATTTCTGGCCTTTGAAAAACAGCCCTTTAGCCAAAACGAAAGAGAACCCCAATAGACTTAGAAAGCTATGATCCCAAGATCAATAGTAATCGCTAACCTTGATTCAAAAGCCGGCTACATAAAGGAACCACCTGGATAAAAGGTTCAAGTTTCTGATGTTCTGCCAACAGCTCTGCCAAGTACTGACTACAAAAAAAAAAAAAAGAAAAAAAAAAAAGAAGAAGAAACACCCGGAAACAGATTAAAAGTCCAAATCAATCACAGCTACAAGATCATCTGAAATTGAATAGAGATCAAGATAATTGCTCTCCGTGAAAACTAAAAACTGGGCATTAATTATTACCTATTATCACCATCTGGGTTGGCTCTAACCTGTGGAGAAGCAGCTCTAGCTGGAGAGAAACTCAAATCCTGGGAGTATAGACTGGACATGGGTTAAAGGTGTCTGGAATTGGGATTCCACAGAGAAATTAAAGAGAGAGTTTGCACACGGGACAAAAGAACTTTTCCCCTGGAAAAGAGTTTGAAAAGCCTGTCCAGCTAACCCCAGAAAAATAGAGAAAAAATATCAAGGAAGCTTTTGGTGGCTTCTTCATTTGTTCTCTGTCGGACAGAAAGGTAGGGCCTACATGTAAATAGGTGTGGGGTCCATTACTACTATATATTTTCTCAAAATATTTACTATTTATTTACAGGAGAATGGACCTAACGTGTCAATTATTAAATTGATATTAAATAAAATCTTTATATCTTATCATATTCTAATTTTTAAAGAAATTTATATCTCACTAAAATGGGATGTTAATAACTTTATATCACTTTCAAAGTATGATGGGAGAAAGGGCGGGAAGGATTCTAGATTGGCTTGAAACAGCAACAGCCTTGACATACTTTCCTGGCACTGCCTAAAAGAAGAATGATTGACCGGAGATTTTTGCATATTCGCATCAACAAGGGGCAAAAGCCCCGCAAACGCACTTTTACTGCAGGTCATCTTCATCCCCACCGTTCAAATTAACATACTATGGTCAAATTTTATATTACACATTTATTTTTTTTTGGGTAATTATTCAGTGATCCAACTAGATCGGATTCTTACAATATGGGCAGTTTCATGGGTCTCATACTTTTATTTTTAATCAATTACAGTAAAAATTTTTGGTAACTTTTCACTATGTTTATTTTTAGAAAAAATTACCAAGTTGAACAATATAATATATTGAAATTAATTATTTTAATGTTCAAATAATATAATATTTTAATTCAGCATCAAAAAAATTTTGTCAATCAAGAATATTTATATTCTCAAAACACTATTATTATTACAATTGTTACAAATATAAATCTATATAGTTATAAATCTATATAGTTACATGTATGAATTTACTAATTATAAGTTTATATGTATATAATTATTACAGATTTTCTAATTACATAAATATTATTTATAATTACATAAATTTATATCTGTATTTTAAAAATATAAATATCTTTAACTGATCACTTTTTTTTCTGATTTTAAATAAAAATATTTTATATTTTAATCATTTAAATAATTAAAATTACCAAATTATCCTGATCAATAATTTTTCTTTTATTTTTTATCTTTGTATACAATTCCTTCTTAGATAAAATTGGTGCCCCGTTTTGTTCTATCTTTTTGTTCTGTCCACTAGGCCGGCATTAGGGCCACCATTACGTGTCAAACACAACCTTGCTGAATTTTGTATCTTGGATGCTTAATCTTGATACCCTCAACTTATGTCAAAATCTTTTGGGTCAATTGGGCTGGTACCTAAAAAATTAAATTATTTTTACGACTTTCTATAACATTTTTTAATTCATAAAAGTAGGAAGAGTTTAAATGTCATGTCACAACTCCAAGGTTATGAGAAGTACAAGGAACAATGCATATGATCCAAAGCTTTGAATCTAAGCAATGGTACTAACAGAACAAGTAAATGTCTGCAAAGATAGCTAGTCATTAATACTTATTGCGCCACCTTCCCTGTAAAAGGTCGACAGTTCTACTCTTATTTATAAAAATTAAATGCCGCCCTCTCATTTCCTATATATTGAAGACGTGCACCAAATGCTCCGCAAATGTTGTCTATAGCAACATCCTTAATGCAATGCATTCCACATCCGACGATCGAATTCCACCAATTAAGGATAGAGATAAGATTATATATTGGCCGAATTCAGTTATATTCGAATCAAAATTTAATTAGTTATTTTTATATTTAAATTTGATTTAAAATTTTATAAAATTTATATATATATATATATATCAAACTAATTTACAATGCGCTGCACATATTATAATCAAACGATGCTAATTAAGAACAGAATAAAGAGGATTAGTCAATGTCTATTTTGTTTTTATTTAAGAGCTTTTATAGAAATTTATGAAATAATTTTATTACAGATGAATCAATCGGAAAAACTTAAAAATTAATTATTTTATTATTTTAATGGTGCCTAGTAGTTGTTTGGAGGTAGTCAATAATTAAGGAGGAATTGAAAGAGGTGAAACACGTTTAAATAGGAAGGCAGGGTTGTCATGATTGAACTTTTGAGTATGTGGTCCATTGGCAATTGACGGTGACTTAGGTACCATTATTGGATCAATTCCTTTAAACGCGGTGCTTACCATATGATTACGTGGTTGATATGGGCTTGTTAGAGAAGTTTGACTTGTCAAGAGAGAGTATTTGGTGAGAAGTTTGGCTGCGACCGTTGATTCATCTAATATGCATTGACTAAATTTTAATCTCTCGTATATCTTTCTTATATATATATATATATATATATATATAGTAACTTACAATAGGTATAAAAAGATATAAAATAAAGGAAATAAATCGTACAAATTTAGAAGGAAGAATAATATACAAATGATAAAATAAAATGAAATGAGATAAGATTTATAATGTTTTTATTGTTGAATTATTGTTTTCTCCCCTAGTTCCCTTTATTTTTAAAAGATTTACCATTGTATAATTATATATTTTTATCTCAAACATGTTATTCTATTCATCAAACACCCAAAAAAAATCAAGTCTAAAACAAATTCTCAAGATAAATTCAAATATCAAAAAGCATTTCTGGCTTATCAAAATTATCAAATGCAAAAAGTAGCGGAATGTCTTCCCTTTCCAAACTTACTTTCGAACAAACCTTAGTTGTAAACATTGGAAGACCATTATTTTGCTGAGATCCGAATTCCAGTGCTCCCCAATGGAAAAGTGGAATACCTAGCAACTAACTGTTTCTCAGGCTAATTATTTAAAAACTTACAAAAACAGCCTCAAAAAATTCAAATTTTTTATTCCCTTTTTATCTATCCAAAGAAATTTCTCAGACTTGAGTTAGCACTAGTATGGCCTACTGTAATGAAAGGAAGAAAGCCTGGCCAGTTACTTGACAAGCGATAAACAAATGAGTAATGTTTGGCCATGATGTGTAACAATCTCTCAAGTTATACGTATAAAACAACGATCTACTGCAATTCAACGAGGAGGAAAGTTCCACTAAGAAAACTTAAATGCCAAACAGAAGCAACAACCGGCAATTCCGATCTAAATGATTCATGAGACCCAATGCCTAGCTAGCATCTGCAAACCACGCCATTGTTCCTCCCACCCAAACAATTCCTACACAGCTAGCAGACAGGTTTGTTTGGCCAAGCTGTTATCAAAATAAACATATATTCTCATTTCAAGCTTGCCAGGAACAACGGAGAGAGACTCCAAATATTCTACTTTGTTTTTTTTCCGTCCTTCTCCTTTTCCACGTTTCTGGAAACACAAAACTTGGGAAGGGTCCAAATTTCTATTAACTTCACATCATTGTCAGTTTGAGCATAAATAGTTGCCGAGAATTCTGCTGAAACAATTTCCGGAAAAGTCTGTCAAATGGGTTTTCTGTTTACAAAAATTTAACTTATTTCAAAAACAAATCCAATCATGACTTAAAATCATATGATTCCTTTGGGGTGTGCTTGGAGAGCAGCGCAAGGCGAGCGCATGATTGACCTGGGCCAACTGTGTGCTGTCTTCATCTGTTTCAACAATATAAACAACCCACAGTATGTGTCTGTCCGTTGCTTCAACTATATGCCAGAAGTAGTTAGCAAATTTTACTGTTCAATCATATAGATTATAGAACACAAATTTAACAAATAAGAAAGGTGTGTATTAATTTTTAATTTTATGTTGCTGCTACAAAAAGTCCTTAGTCTTTACATCCAAACAACCATTCCTGCCCACATGTATGCATCTGAAGCACCAAGTTTAATAAATTAAGGGATAAAAAAAAAAGTTCATAATAGACATGGACGTGTTGGATAATGACTTGTCATATGCTTCCCAAGTGGTAATTCATTCGTGAAAGTCAACTTCAGTTGAAGGTAGCTACTGTAAAAACCAAATACATGAGTGACGCAACAGCCCCATGATCTACGAGTAGACACAATACAAGACAGAGAAGACAAATATACAAATTATTTTATTAGTTGAAAGGTTAAAGACACCTTTTCTTTCCACTTTTGCAAAACTAAAGCTAAAGCAATATAATAAGGCTCCTTCAACATCTCTAGAAATGTGACAGGTAAATCATTTCAGCCATGTAGCCAATTTAGGATGCAGTTCATCTATAAACCAGTGCGGGAGAATTCAGATGATAACATCAACTCCTGTAGAGATTTCGAAATCACATGAAAGAGGAGAAAACACATATCTCAAACAAATATTAAACCATGACAATATAAAACCTAAAATAGACATGATCCAAGCTGCCTAGAAGATATCAAGAGGAAGTAACAAAATAATTCAGCAAACAATAGTTTGTAGAGTCCATTTAAGACAATTAGGTGGAGGTAAATGCACAAGTAAATGAAAAATTATCATCTCTCATGAACGTATCACCACAATCCACAAAGTTATCCTCAAGCATTATCAGGTACCTGGCAAGTGTCTGCACTCAGAAATTCAGTTTCTTTCAAGGGTTCAGGCTCGGCAACACCTAGACAATTTCTCAAAGTCCATTAAAAATATAATCCATCATAAAACAAGACAATCCCTACCATAATAAGATAATTGTTATCTCATTAAAGCATCAACCTGCAGGAAGCATAAACCACAATCATGTTTGTCAACACTTCACAAATTACCACTGGATAAGTTTTCAGCAAAGAATAGAAGTTCATGTTTATGCCTATAACAGACACTCATGATAATAATTCAGAGGCAAATGAAAGAACTTATATTCTTGATGCTTCTTTTCAGAACAGTACAATGTTTCAGAGTTGTAATCAGTGAGTGTCAAATATGTTCCAGACTTAACTTACAGGAGTTATATTCTTAACGGTACATCAAATTGCTTAAATGATACAATCATAGATACAAAACAATTACATTGACCAAACAAAGACAGAAATAAGAACAAATAATAAAAGAAATAGCACTATCAACCTCCTATTTGCATATATTGCTATTCAAACCTCTGTTTGAAAGAAAAAAAAGTGAAGAAAAGGGGCAAAAAGAAAAAAGAAGAAGAAGAAGAAGAAAGTGGGCAGCATCCTTCATATGCCGCATTTGGGTATTTTTCCAAATATTCCTCCTCAAGGACGAGGATAAAAGACATTAAGGAGGTGACTGTTGCAGAGATATTTCAAGATCTTTTGACTTAGGGAGAGGAGAAACATCTAGGGTCGCTTGTGGACTTCTTGCACAGGGAATCTCAGGAGCCGGAGAGGGGGATCGAGAAGAAGTTTGTACAGTGCCAACAGAACTCATATTGCTCATGGGCGGTACCTTAATAGGATAGACTTCAGTAACCTCTTCACTGCCTTCATCCAGGTATACAACATCTTGCATGGTTAGCTGGTGATATTCAACAACCTCCCTTAGGAAGCGGTTCTCCGTGCAAAAACCGAGTTTTCTTGTGCCAATCGAGCCTTCTCTGCCAGAAGTGTCTCAAGTTGGAGTCGTATCTGACACATGAAAATCAAAATCAAAATCAAAATAAAGTCATTTAAAAAATATGATTTTCTTTTACTAGGACTGACTCTCTAATCTTCTTGGAGAAATAAAGTTAAGGATGGGGAAGCAAAACCTAGAATAACACAAGGAACACAAGCCTAGAAACTACAAAATTCTACCCTCGAATACCAGCGGTTTGTCTTCAATCATTGAGTAAAATCATATGTGATGAATAGAAACAAGTGCTCTAAATCAAAACAAGAGATTCATTTCAGTAATTTAAAAGAACAAATTGTATTGATTTAACATTTCAGAAAATGCAAGAAAAAGACATAAGAGAGGACAACACTAGTTTGCCTTTGATTGTTGAATATATCAGTAAAATCAAGTGCAATGCATAGAATATGAGTGTTCTAAACCAAAACTGGAAGTTCATATCAGTAATTTAAAACAAAATGCATAACTTTAACACTCCACCAAATGCAAGAAAAAATAAAGAAGGGAGATCGAGAAGAAAATTCTCTCTTTTTTTCCATTTTTTTTACAAGGGAAAAGGTTACCAAATCATCATCTTCAGGGTTATCACCCTTTTCGAGACTCTCTCTAAGAATTCTATTTTCTTCTTCCAGCTGAGCACAACGCTCCTTTGCAAAAGCCAGGTCTGCTTTGACTGTCTTCAGCTCACGAAGAAGAAGCTTTGCTTTGGCAGCCATTGCCATGGCAACCTGGCATGCAAACCAGAAGGCATATCATGCATCTTATTGATGCAGGCAACAAAATCCAGGCTAGAAAAGTTTGCGCACAACCATCAACTTGGCAGGCTTTGTTTCTATTGTGTAAATAATTACAAAATAGAATGGCAATCCACCATAACCAAGACATTCATTATCAAACCAGTCCTACAAAGTTGCCACCTTACGTCGCGAGATGCCTTCAATTGCATATCAAGATCGGTTTGCATCTGCGGCTGCACTGGAGTCGGCATTTGGGAGTGCTCCCAAGTACTGCCAAACCTTGAAGCCTGATTTTGCTTCACAGAACTGGGTTGTTGCCATGTATTGCCAAACCTTGATGCCTGATTTTGCTTCTCAGAACTACTACCTTTTCTCCTTGTTTGCAGTTTCCGAGTTTCTTGAATGATATCAGCTGTTCGGTTCTCCACAATATTACGACCCTCCTGAAAAAGTAAAGGGAATTAATGACACACACAAGGAAATCAGTAAATTTGTACAATTACAATCAGCTTGTAATGGAGAATGGCCCGACCATTTTAACAAGAAAAACAAGTGGCTGATGATAAGTAGCTAGATAAGCAGAATGGCAGTCATAGTAAGGTTTCACACATGCATATGTCAGCAATCATCATGGAGCAGCATCCTGGCAAGTGGCAGAGCTACGAGGAGGAAGAGCCTGATGGTAGCAATAAAGTAACAGTTGAAACTGATAATAACAAGTATTATTCAGGCGTTTATCAAGGTGATCTAATTTGTTTTCTCCTTTGCACCTTGCTATGATGTTAAATAGTATGCTTTGCTAACAATATTAAAATACTTGCAAATTAAACTCCAGTTTTTTGTAACTAATTATGAACAGTAGATTTCAAGGAAATTCAAATTCCATTTACCCAGAGCTATTTAAAATGACCAACCACATTTAAATCCCAATTAAAACCAAATTCCTTGAACGAAGCATATCTTGCAAATCCTTGGAAGTATCATTGGACATATTGAAGTTACCTCAAAAGCATTGCCAATTGTGCCACCTATATAGTTTAAAGATGATGTGATTGCAACTATGCCCTTCCGCAGTGTAGGATTTTCAGTCTTCTGATGGTTCTCAGGTGAATAATATGGGTCATGAATCTGCAGGAACATGTGTACAAAAAGAGATCAAATTAGAATTTAATGAAAATGACAACCACGTGGCCCCAAGCCAGGTTGTCAGAAATTGACTAGAAACTAAAATTTGCTGAGAAGATAAATAAACTCATAATTAAACATAGAAGAATCCTATTAAACTTTCACGAGTGCTAAAAAAAAAAACAATATTATCATGATCTTATCAAAAGGAAAAATAATTACTTAGAAAAGCTAGTTTAATACTAATTATGAGCTGTCACTATTAAGGCAGAAGCTTAGAAAATGATGCTCACCTGACCCGTTGTGTCTGTACCAGACATCTGCAATCTTGTTCTTCCAGGCATATCAAATTGTTGGGATGTATTGTCATCATCAATAATGGATTTAGCTTTCCTCGCCAAAGCTCCCCAAAATCCAGATTTATTGTCACTCAAACTTTTCATTGATGTGTATTCATAGGTGGTTGAATCCTAAATCACAAATACCACTCTCATCAGCAGGGAAAATCAGCCTTTTTAATTTCCTAGTAGAACTCTGTATGAAGAGAAAGTAATATGTGACAAAGGTAATGCTATATAATACTTAATAACTACAACTAATTCCAAAAGAAAAGCGTTAGAATGACTTTGAAATTAGAAAGTGAAAACCTACAAACTGCAACAAACCTGCATTAACCTGAAAATAGTAAAAGATAAATGACATTAATTTAGGAAATGAGAATTTTCTAGCTTCAAAGGTAGCAATTGCTTAACTCAGGGTTCCGTGAATTAGTTCCAAAGAAGTCACATAGTTTTGGATGCAAAAGTGCAGCCAAGATACTGCTCAAAGCGACATCTTACCCTTCAGTAGAGGCATAGAAAACCAACATAAAGAATAGATGCGCTTTTATATAAGATAATCCTTCCATATCCATTTCATCTTTATCCTTTCTTAGAAGGCCGACTGTTAAACCTCACTGTTTCTAATCCACAAGTTTTTCACTAATAATCTCTGTTATTCCAACGCTCCATTTACTTATCCCTACAATAATACAAACAATTAGAGAATCAAACTAGCCATTCCTTCCAGACACTTGAATTATGAGCCTAACAAATATCATTACAGGATAACAACTCACCAAAATCACCAAACCTTTTCCCAGTTACAAAGGGTTGGTCGTCTATATGAATCCTATTTGTCCATTCTGTTATGTTAGAAGCCATATGCTTAGTTAAATTAAAATCTATTAAATCTTTTTTTTTATTATCTAACCCAAGTTAATTTTGGTCTAGCCCCATCCTCTATGATCAACTCAACATTTATGGTACTAATGTGGCCTACATTTATTATCTCATAATTGAATTTTATATTATCTCATAATTTGATATTTCTAATTGTATCTTTTCTAGTCTTAACACAGATCCACCTTAACATCCTCTTTTGTATTAACTCATTTTGTTAATATTTTGGTATTTATCTACCCAACACTTTGAACTATATAATAAAGCTACTCTCACAGCTGTATCACAGAAAAGTTTCTTTCCATCTCATGAGTATATGTCGATCACACAATTCCTGAAGCATTTCTCCAAAATTAGTTCATTTTGCCTTTATTTCATGAGTTGTATCCCATACAAATCTATTACTCCATTTGTACAATTGAATTCAGGTACTGAAACTGCTTACTCTTTGGTATTCGGGGACCTTCAACACTAATTATTCCTCCACTGAACAAATCATGGCCATCACCATTCCTTCCACTTTATTAAAGCCGGAGTGAATTGGAGGCTGGTGAAGGATAGTCCATAAAAACCATACTACCAGGAAATTATTCAATAATACAGAAGATATGTAAATATTGGTGAGAGGTATATTTTTTTTTCCCTCAGATCAAACATTTCATCTCAACAGCATATATAAATAATAGAAGAAAACATATTCTAACTTCTAAGCAAGCAAGAAGATGCCTTCACCCTCTCAAATAGTTATCATGCTACAATGAGGAGTGTGGAAAATGTATTGCCTTTTGGAAACTATATTTGGTTTAGTCAAAACAGGTTAAACCTCTATAATTCAAGACCATATGTCGACTGGATTATTATATTCTGCTCATCATTCTCACATAGTTATGGTGATTCTTACAAAGTAAAGGCAGCATAACATAATAATAGGGGTGTTAAAGAAGTCATGCTCAATATCATCTAACTAAAAAGAAAAAGAAAGATGCTATTACCAATGTCTTTTATTCATAATCTAAAGAGAGCCGCATGGCTTACGTGTCATCCCTGATTCAAATTATTAGATTGCATATTTTGGAAACAGAGTTTGCATAAATATGTGCTGACGGTGAGTCCATTATGATTCATCCACCAGTCCTCTACAGAAAGCCACCAAAAAAGGGGAATAAAATAAAACTATTATCCTTCTTCCATACTCTTCATACGCCAGTTATAGCTATTGCAATGTCCTTTATTTTTCTTAAGGTGTAACCTCCATCTTTCTATGCCCAAATCTATCAAATGTGTCTCCAAGTCTCCCCATTGAGTATGAAAGGAGCCCAAACATGTTTAAACAAAAAGTACTAAAGTTTGCAATGTCTACTAGAAGACGATAGAGCAGAAGTAACTAAACTTGAATTGGAGATAAGATGTAAAAATTAATTAAACCAACGTCCAATGGATTAACTAGAGTTGTTTTGCCAAACATAGAGCCTTACAATTTGACTCATAATTTACGAATGTGGACATCCACGGGCAATCAGTTATCTAGCCGGTCAAATTATGTATCTCTTAGATTTATGTGCAAGCGTCCTCTATTTTTAGTTAGAAGTAAAAATTCTTCATTTTCTCATCTCAAAACCAAGGCATTTCTTTCAATAACGACATGATAAAACCACCCACTCATCAGTATAACAACTAACGAACTGCATATCTCCATGTATAGTTTCAATAACTGGATCTTGAATTAGATTGCAGAGTTATTCCAGGCGCAAGTCCGCTTAGTCAACACCATCTCAAGATATTACGCATAAACTGAAGACGTTCACAACATGAGACGAGAATCGAACCTTTGGCGAATCAGAAGGAGAAGATCTGGCAAGATTAGGGCTGCGGGAGGGACTGAAAGCGGAATGGCCGTAAGCAGAGGAAAGAGAAGAATCGCGATAGGCTGATGATGCTCTGATTGCTTTGGCGGCCAGCGACGACGCGGAGGGCGACGACGAGCCGTCGTCAGGAGGCGGAGGAGAGCGAGGGTTTCCAGATTCTTCTGAAAAGGTCGAAGGCCTCGATGCTCCCTGCTTTCTTCTGTACGCCATTAGGATTTAATTCGATTCGAAACCCCCCGCCCCAACGCCACCAACGCTGTCGCCACTGTCAAGCAGAAGAATCACACTAGTGCCTCCGCCACTCCACCACAAGAACGCACAATCGGAAGGAATCTGCAGGGCGAGGCAAGTGAAAGCCCTCTGTTTTACAGGGAAGGTATCGATTGCAATCCCCTTCTTCCAGTTCCTATTCCTCTCTCTCTCTCTCTCTAAAAACGTCAACGCACAACTACTATGCTGGCATAACATCTACATTCGACGGTGGCGTTCAGGCAGCAGATCGAATCCCTGAAAATGGGCTTGTAGGGCCGATTAGAGCACATTGATTGAGTTGGGCCACACAGCCTGAATCATGGACCTAACAATAATTTCGTATTTGGGCTTCGGCCTCGTTGTAACCAAAAAATTGAAAAGAATAATATCGTATTTCACCTTCAGCAGCCTTTCCCAGCACGGTCGTGCTGAGGGGTGAGCCCACGGGTTTATAAAAGAAAATTAATTTAATTTAATATGTGTAAATGACAAAAATTTTAAATCATATTTAACTTATTACTTCTTTTCCGCTGTGTAGTTCGGGTTAATTAGGTGGAGGCAATTTTGTGGTGGGTTGGTTGGTTTACTAAATTGTTAATATTAATAAGGCTCGTATATGTTTTTAATACGGGATACTCTGTTATTAATAAAATTATAATTAAATTAAAATTAAAATAATAAAATAAAATTGATTTTAAATTATAAAATATAAAGTAAAAAAGTATAAAATATAATATTTTTCTATATTTATTAGGTAAGTGTAAGTGTAACGTCTTAATAGAATATATTAAACGTCTAAATTGTAATTTGATGACCAATATAAAGGTTTAACTAAAGTAATTGAAATATTATAATATAAAATAAAATGGTTATTAACTATAAATTATCCTTATTGAATACAAATGAATTTTTAGTTGCAAAAGTTATGGAGTGTTAGGTCTTATAAACGCGGAATTAAGTTGGTGACTTTGCATTTGTAAATGTGTGTAATTGATAAAGTAATGATGAGACATCGGATGGTTTGCTTACCATCAAAAATAAGAGTATAGTTATGAAAAATAAAAATAAGATTAAGCACAAATATATGATAGTTGTTATGGCTTAGAAAAGCAGATCCGTGACTAGCGCTAGGATTAAGATAATTTCAAACCCACAAGCCTTTCATACTCAGAACTATAACAAAACAAATTCAAACTAAACTTAATATATTACCAAAGTTTGATACCAACTTTTAGAAATCCAATACAATGATCAACATCTGAAATATAACTATATATACTAAACCATGTCTTTACATCAAAACAGAAGCAAAGTCTATCTACTATACTCGGAAATCAATCATCAGGATCGATAGCTTCTTTCCTGTGGCAAAATCCTTCGGAAATATAGAACCTGGGTTTGGAAAAATAAAATGATGAGTTTAACAACCAAGCGAATAATAATACACATTTACATGATAATAGACATATATTATATAGTTTTCATCATAAAACAAACTTTTCAACTTATACGAGTTAGGGAGTTCGTAACAAATAACTGAACAGAAAAACATATAACATAACGACAATCTCATAGTCTGCAAGTATGTATATAACAGAACAGCGATCTCCTAGTCTCTAAATAATCAATAAACAAGCTTATCACGTCGGCTCCACGTGATAATTTAGTACCACATCTGCTAATTAAGGATACAAGGCAATGTGCACAAAGTTTAACGCGTACTGCCATTAGCTGCAGTATTCTAACTATTCGATACTCTATTAAAACAATTTTTTTTAAAGTTTACCAGAAATAGTTTACAACGTTTCAAAGTGTCCAAACATAACAGTAATAGAAAATCAAATTTACAGATTTTCAATGTTCAACATATCAGAAATTAAAATCAATAGTTCAGGACACTTCCAAACAAATCAGAAAATTTCATATACGTCCCTTGTGAGTTTTTATAACATATTAAATTTCAATTTTGAAATAACTAAAATTATAAATAATTTATGTAAAACTCATCATTTAACAAATACAAAAAATAACGAAGCATATAAATATGTATTACTACTCACAATACTGAAGAATCTCAAAACCCAAGCTACGACGACACGGCTCAATCGAGAGTTGAGCAATTAATCTAAAAATACACAAAAACTTTAACTTTATGACATAGTATATCTCAATTTTAATTTAAACTTCAATTTTCCTTAAAACCTAAATGTTCACTCAGGTTCTCGTGTCCAAAACTCATATTGAGAATTTTAAAGTCCCAAACTGATCAAATGAACCACATCTCATATGTTAAAGTCTTGAACTAATCTCATAAACAATAAACCGTCTATTTATCATTTAAATCAATCATTAAAATGCTAAGTCAGTATTGAATTGGTCACTAGAAGATTGAACCGACTATAAATAGGTCAAAACAACACTGAATCGAACCTCAAACATACTAAACCGTACATGAAACCCATTGAACAAGTGATAAAACCATTGAACCGGTCTTAAAATCTATTAAATCGGCCTTAAATCCATTAAATTAGTTATAAAATCCATTGAACGGCATTGAAATACACTGAACCAGCCAT